TCTTTGAAGAGACAGAACAGTTTATGATTGCCAAACAAGACAGGTCATAAATACAAGAAACTATAGAAAGCATATCTTAAAAGATCTAACACTCACAAACCACATTTGTAAAAAATGCCATATCACGCACAAGACTATACAACACATCACATTAAGTTGCAAACTTTTAACATAAACTGATTAATTACATCAACATATTCAAACAGCAAATAACAACCAGGAACCATACTACAAATACACACCTCAAACAGTCATTGAAAACAACACATGAAAAATATACTATGATTGAGCTATAATTACAGGCAAAGCAATGCATCACGACAGGTCAGACATCACATTCAACAAACAAAACAAAAATCACATAAGTCATAGATGTAGCTGTTCCAAACATTCACAGTAAAATATCAGGTAACCAAATAAATAATTGTTATTTTTTTATTTTGATGAATAAAATTATTTTATTCACTAAATCTTCTCACAACTGGTTATATAATAAATAACACCAATAAACCTTTATAATCAAACCAGCAAATAGTTTTTAATATACTTTGACAAGCGCTTTCAATTCTAATTGGGATCTGCTTCAGGTCAAAGCATTCTATACAAAAATTTCAAATGTTTAAAGAGCAATTAAATCTTTAAACATTCAAAATTTTTGTATAGAATGTTTTTGACCTGAAGCAGATCCCAATTAGTATTGAAAGCGCTTGTCAAAGTATATTAAAAACTATTTGCTGGTTTGATTATAAAGGTTTATTGGTGTTATTTTATTCACTTTCACATTCAGTTACACTTTCTCAAGAGGAAGGCAGTTTGAAAAGACTGTTTTTATAAATGATTTGAATGACTCCTGAAAATCTTTTTTGTGTTTGGTGGACTTTTAGAGGTTAATCACAAGTATTTGAACATTGGTCAAACATTCACAGCAGATTTGTACAGTGAGCAATTACAAAGAGTACATGACAAAAGGCTAAAACAGCCATCTTTGGAGAATCATTGAGTTGTTTTTGTTTTTTACAAGTTAATGCTCACACATTGAAGAAATTACAAGAAACAAAATAATGCAATTAGGATGGGAACTTTTTCCTCATCTTTCCTATTGTACTGACTTATCTTTGTCAGAGTACCACAATTTTTAATTTTTTGACAATCATATGCTTGGAAAACAATTTACAAATCATGCAGCTATAAAAAGAAGTATCTCAATTTTTATTGTTAAAAATAGTATTTTCAAACAGCACTCCCATTGGGGAAAGTGTAATTGAATGTAAAGTAAATATTTTGATGAATAAAATTATTTTAAACAAAAACTACAAGCATTTTTATTTGCATTTCAAAAATGTAATGTCATTTTTGAAATTGTTAACCATTATTTGTTTAGCACACACACACACATATATATATATTTTTTTTTTTGAAAATATATATATGTGCATATATATATAAATATTTACAGCATTAATTTTTTCATTAATTTGTAAATATTAATAATAAGCATTAATTTGTAAATATTTAGAACTTGATCACAAAATAAAATATCTGTGGAGAATGGATAAGATACTTATTTTGCCAGTAATCCTTTCTTTCACAGGTATCTTACCACATATATTACATAAAAGTCTTGAAACATTAGCACTTCATAATAGCAGATACACTGCAGAAGGCTACCATACTAAACACATGTCACATAGTCAGGAAATTCTTAAACACAGATAAATTCATGAACAGCATATATATAAAACAAAAGTTAATGCTCACACATTGAAGAAATTACAAGAAACAAAATAATGTAATTATTGTGTTGTTCGGAAAGTAATTTCGTTTTTTTTTTTGTAGAAACGAGATCATAGACCTAT